TTTTCACACTATATCAAATTTAAAAATAGAGGTAAGTTATTACTATATTCTCAATAACTAATGTCATATATTTTTAATATAATAATATCCATTATACCATTACATTATATTTTTTCTTAAATTCAATTAATCAATTTAATTTAATTTAATTCAATTCAATTATATTACCCATTTTCCTAAATTCTTATTAAAAAAATATTCATTAACTTATATTTATGTATATGTGTAACTGAATTGAAAAAAAATATATTTTTCTTATTTATTTCCCTTTTTATTTTTATTAAGTAAAAATATATTGTTCTTTTCTCTTTGTTTGTGTCTAATCAAGTGTGCTGAAGTGCATACAAAACATTTTCATTTGCACATACCTTTTATATGATTAAACAAACTTATTTCAAAAATGAGAATTTTTTCTTGCATGATGGTATGGAAAGGAATCATGCTAGCAGAAGGATTTTTAGATATGACTATCTTAATGCAATATTAGACTTTAGTTTTTATTTCATAATAGTTTTATAAACAAATTTGAGATACTCTTTACATCTTTTTAATAAAATTTTCTTTGCTAATAAAAAAAATATTACTAACCTTATATAACATTATATATGTATTTTAATAATATTTTATTAATTACTTTTTTATTAATATATTAGTTTATATTAAATTTTTAAATATATATTTTTTTCATTTCACAGCCCGGGCAATGCCCGGGGTATTAACTAGTTTTAGAGAATCAAAATACATTTTGCAAACAATAGACAATGATTTGGTTTTTTTTTTTTTTGTTTTTTTCTTATAAGTTCAAGAGTGACCTTTTCATCTTGTTCATACCTCAAGATTATATCTTCTCTCCGAGGTAACTAAGTTAGAAATGTTTTATGTATTTGTAATTACATTATATATATGCTGATAAAAAAAAAACATTATATATATTTTTAAATATTAATTGTTATTCTTTTATATATATTAAATATTAATAAAAATTTTAAAATAATTTATGATATCAAAAAATAATAAGAATTATTGCTATTAATGAAAATTGAATAATGCAATAATAATCATAAATCGTCTATTAATTGTATATATCATTCAATTGAGACATTGATTGATGTAAAAATTAACATATGGTGAGAGTTTGCTAGGTAATAAGACCTCTTTTTATGAAGTTATATCTTGCATGTGAATGCTTGAATAGAGTGAGTTCATTGAATTGCCATGCCAGCAAGGTTACCGTACTGGTATGCTTGTAGGTTTCGCTACCAGAACAACATGTACTAGGTTCTTCAATTTTTCATGTATCATTTTAGATTAACCACTATAAATGTATATATTTTTTTGGAATTAAAATATTTTAATAAAAAATAAAATAATATATTTTATAAATTAAATTTATTGTCTCATTAAGGATTTCGTTAAATTAACCGTTAAAGATTAATTATCCTATTTAAAGGCATATTATTTCATAATAATTACCCAATTTATTTCTATCATTAACCTACAAATGGAAGTTATAAGACCATGAGTCCTATAAACAGGACATGTCTATTTGCTTAAAGGGGAGAGTTCTTCTACGTTCTTCTACGTTCTCCTATTTTTCTTACTTTACTTTATCTTCTAAATATTCTGGGGTAAAAAGGATATTTTGAGTTTGGTGACTTTATCGATAATGCAAATTCATAGAGTGTAATTATAAAGTTGCAGCATCCTGGAGGTGACATGCTATATATATCTCTACTGTACCAGTTAATCTACTCTCCACAAAGGTGTGAATCGCCTTAAAGTAAGTAAGTTTTTCATGCATATTTCGATGATGTTTTTCATGCCTATTTCGATGATATTTTTTTATTGATATTTCTTGATAAGTTCACTAATTATTATTTTATTTGATCTTGTGACTGGGGCACAACAATAACATGATATGAAGATGGAGGAGAGTGTTTGAGGAACAACAATTTTAAGGCAAATCAATATGCAAAACAAAATTGAAACATTTACCACTTTGCGTAAGCAAAATATTTTCTTTAATATACATATGCGCCAAATAGGTATGAGTTCTTGGTACAAATCTACTTAAAAAAAAAAAAAAAGAGGATATCATACAATACTTTCTTTTCTTTTTACTTTTGCTGTTGAGTAATGCATTCAAATATGTGTTCTTTTTTGTTACTACCGTTGTCCTTAATTTATGAGACATTTTCAACAGGTTAAATTTAAATAAAAAAAATGTTAAAACGTTTTACATGCAATTTTAATGTCTCCCATTATACATGCATTGATACATATATAAATTTGTGATTAATTTGGCATAAAGATAGGTGACCGTTCATAGGTTTTATGCAATGGTGATTTATTACTTACTTAGATATGAGAACCTTATTATTAGCACTTTATGTTATTAGCCATTGGTATTAAATACATATTAAATTTTTGCTAGTTAATTAATAGATTAATGGTGCATTTTGGCCATTACTAGTGCTATAATGGCTATATTTATAAGAATTATTAGCTAGTTGTTTGCTCTTAATGCACATAGTAAATATTTGGTTAATTTCCAATAGCTATGAAGGAAGAAATTTATGAATAAATTTGTGAATTCAATTGATCATATTATTGAGTTATTTGGTCAAACAGGTGAAAATTTTGAGAATCAAAGAGTTACCCAATTTGGCCCATGCAATAATTTTGAAAAAATGGACTTGAAATTTGGGTTGATATATTCTAGAAACATAAGTTACATTTTTAAGCTTGCGTGACCGAGGAGGCATTTATGGCGTTAAAATGTGAGATGAGCTAATACACTTTTACAAAATTTTGTGAATAAATAAGTATTTTCATGAACTCAATTATTTGAGAAATGTGAAAATCACGTATTTGAGATGTTCCTAATGTGGGGGATTATTATGATATCCCTATGTATTGTTATTGGTGATAAGACCAATGGTGCCTAATTGAAATTTTGCATAGCATTCCTATTATACAATAAGGTATAATGGTGCTTAACAAAGTAAATATAATATGCATTCCTATTATACAATTAATTATGGTATAATGGTGTATGATGGAAAAAAAATATTAAGGCATTTGAGAAAAGGGATATGTGATGGATATTCCTATTGTACAACAAGGTACAATGGTGTTTGAGTTAAAAAATTCTTAAATACATGTCTCTACATGTATGGAAAGAAAAAAGTGGTTCACTAGCTCAATTTGTATCAAAATTGTGGCACCATGAATTGAGAATTTGAGAAATATGAATGTGAATTTTATGAACTAGTAGACATGTGGGTTGGCATGAAAAAGTGAGAAAAAGAATAAGTTAAATCTCTTTGTTACCCACTTTACCACCAATTGGGCCTTTGGTAAAAACAAAAGTTGGAGGAAAATCTATGATCATAGTCCAAGGTCTAGTGCTCATTGTGGGGAATAAGATTCAAGCCTAATAATATAGAACTTTCTATGAGGATACCCAACCCAAATTCTAAGAATTGGGTTTTGAATTGGAAAAATGAATCATAAAGAAGTCGTTGTTGAAAGATGCATTAGTATTTAATAGAAAAAATTTTTGGTCCCATTCCTAAGGTAATGATGCATCTATCTCATAACAAATTGAGGGTTGAGTTATATACTCTTAATGAATTTTATAGCTTATAGAGTGGGGTGTCTTAGTTATGGGAGCACTCTTGACAAATTTCACCTATGTGGGTGTCGAAGTGAGGCCGTTTCTATGAAAATTAGATGAGCAATTTTCTATATCACCCATGAAAACCAAGATCATGCGCAAGGCCATAATGCGCCAGCTGCATGAAAAACTCAACATTCAGATCATTATATATGTGATACGATTCTTGTCTCTTCCAACGAGGTCATAGTTTAAGACTTAGTTCACTATTGACTTTGGATTAAGAATTGTTGACTAAGGTTCAAGGCTTAGCTACGTTTATTATGCATAATAATCTATTTTTACCCAAAAGAAAAGTTTATTTTTTATTAAAATAGTGAGGGAATTGTTGGAACTTAAATATTTTAATAAAAATAAAAGAATATATTTTATAAATTCAATTTATTCTCTTATTAAGAACTTGGTCAAACTAGTCATTGTAGGTTAATTGTTTTATTTAAGGGCACATTATTTCATAATAATTGCTCAATTTATTTATATCATTAACCTACAAATGAGAGTTACAAGACCATGAGTCCTATAAATAGGACATGTCTATTTGTTTAAAGGGGAGAGTTCCTCCACATTCTCTTATTTTCCTTAATTTACTTTATCTTTTAAATATTCTTGGGTAAAGAATGATGTTTTGAGTTTGGTGACTCTATCGATAGTGTAGATTAATAGAGTGTAATTATAAAGCTATAGCATCTTGGGGGTGACATGCTATATATATTTCTGCTGCACCGGTTGATCTACCATTCGTAGAGTTGTGAATCACCTTAAAATGAGTAAGCTTTTCACGTTTATTTCGATGATATTTTCTTATTGATATTTATTGATAAGTTTATTAATTATTATTTTATTTGATCTTATGACCAAGACACAACAATGACATGATGTAGAGATTGAGGGGAATGTTCAAGGAACAACATATTTTTATA